TGGGAGTGATTCTGGGAGGGCAAGAATCACTTATGGGGAGAAAAAGTGATAATTGGCCTATCCAAAATCACTTTTCAAACGAGCCCTTAATAATCAACATCAATGTTGTACAGGAATGTTTCTGTTTTCTGAAAATGAAAAATTAAAGATGCTTGGGATGGATAGAAATTAACAACAGCTGAATGAACAAGAACTTGCATTTATTTATAACAAGTCACATAGTTAGAATTTCATCCCCAACACTAATTTCCTCACAAATGCCATCATATATTTACAACATTTGAGCCCTGTGTTTTGTTGGAGTTTTGAAATCACTTAACTGGTGCAATAATGGTATAAACCAAAAGGAAAGTGACAATGACAATAGCCCCTGCTAGAGTAAACCTGGGGCTAGTCCATAACATGAGATTGGACCTCTCTGTCCTCTTGATTGTGATTCTTAGGGCTTGTTTGGGAGTGATTCTGGGAGGGCAAGAATCACTTATGGGGAGAAAAAGTGATAATTGGCCTATCCAAAATCACTTTTCAAACGAGCCCTTAATAATCAACATCAATGTTGTACAGGAATGTTTCTGTTTTCTGAAAATGAAAAATTAAAGATGCTTGGGATGGATAGAAATTAACAACAGCTGAATGAACAAGAACTTGCATTTATTTATAACAAGTCACATAGTTAGAATTTCATCCCCAACACTAATTTCCTCACAAATGCCATCATATATTTACAACATTTGAGCCCTGTGTTTTGTTGGAGTTTTGAAATCACTTAACTGGTGCAATAATGGTATAAACCAAAAGGAAAGTGACAATGACAATAGCCCCTGCTAGAGTAAACCTGGGGCTAGTCCATAACATGAGATTGGACCTCTCTGTCCTCTTGATTGGATCAACCTCCTCAGATGATGGGTAATTAGACCGAGTAGGGTTCCAGGTCACATACTTGTTTGGAGAGAACTGTGAGAAGAAGCTCTTCTTCTTCTTATTTTTCGCTTGCTTCCTGATGTTTGACCAGGCCTTGTCCCAATCTGTTGAGAATTTATCACCTGAGGTGTATGTTGATCAACATTGAACTATATGGTCAGTTTAATCATTAGACGCACCTAAATAACCTCTATCCGTACTTGTTCAAACAATGGGAGATGATGAGTGATTCGAACTTTTTCTAGTATTGGAAAAAATAAACAAAGAGCATTATACATAGCTAAAAGTTTTAAGGTGAGACGGTCATATACGCCCTCTGTCTCACATTTACCCATCACGTGCTGCTTTCGAGCGATGGGTAAATGCGAAACTTTCTCGAGTTAAACCCTCCCTCCTTTAATCACCTTGTAAAATTACTTGGCAAGACATAACATCTCGCTACCACTATACATGAATGAAACCTTCAAGATTGAAATTCACTAATAACCTTAATTAAAACTGGTAAACACCAACTCATCCGATCCAAGTGCCAAGTGATAACCAACCAAAACTAGGTGGGAAATCCAAAACAATTAGAAGCACATCATCATAGAGGAAGCTCAATTTTACATCCAAACACTAACATTAAATAATAATAATAATTAAGAAAAAATAACAAATTAATTTGTTAGAAACGTACCGTGGGAGTCACCGTTTTGTTGGGGCTCTTGAGAGTCCCTTCTTGAACAGAAAGGTTTCAGTGGCGAGTAACAAGAAGAAGAAGAAGAAGAAGAAGAAGAAGAAGAAGAAGAAGAAGAAGAAGAAGAAGAAGAAGAAGAAGAAGAAGAAGAAGAAGAAGAAGAAGAAGAAGAAGAAGAAGAAGAAGAAGAAGAAGAAGAAGAAGAAGAAGAAGAAGAAGAAGAAGAAGAAGAAGAAGAAGAAGAAGAAGAAGAAGATGATGATGATGATGAAGAAGAGTTATGTTTTTGAGTGGTCCAGAAATAACGTGAGGATGTTAAGCTTCCTATTCGAGCTTGAATATCCATTTGCACATCCCGAACCCAAACCAAAGAATATTCCAATCCAATGTAAATCCCCTGCTAGCTACTGCTGATGATCTCGTGGCGCTAACATTTCCGTACGGTCTTATCACACTGGGAGATTGCCCAGCCTCTAATTCTCCCTCGCCTTCTCTCACTTCGACACGTGTCCCAATGTTAACTGGCTTTCAAATTCTCTTTTTTTTTAAAAATTAAAATTATGGACCCTGCTTCCCTCCTTACATTACATGAATAGCGACATTCATATTTCCTGCAAATTAAAGTTTGATACATATGCAAAAATTATCCATCAAAAACACAAAATTAAGCATCTCAATGCACATATCAAACTGTGATTAGTAGGAAAATAAAAGTTCCTACTTTTATGGAAGGAGACAAGTATTTTCCTTTAAATATTTATTTAGCCTGTTTTTTTTTCCTTTTGTTTTCTCGAATAAAAGATAAACGAAAATATATAGATGTTTCAAATATTGTTTTGAAAAAAAAAAATTACAAATAGCACACATGGGCAGACTCCCAACCCTTGACTTGATAGTAAGTGAAGTTTGTCAGTGCATTGTGAGCTCTATTTGCATCAACGTGATAAATTGTCCCAAAAATTCTTCTAATATTGTTTTAAGATAACTATCATTCAACTCTAAGATACATGAGATTTTTATTGACTGTATATAATTCAATAATTGTTTGATATTTTCTTGATAAATAATAATTATATATCTATTTCTCTCATCACATCACATGACTAGTCATGTAAAAATGATGCCAGTAACAAAAGTTAGTTTTCATTCAGACACAAGAATAATACTTTCGTGTGGATGTTTCATTTTCGGTCTTGCTATTTTCCTGTTGTAGATACCAGTCTATTCTCGAGAGCTACTTAAAAATAACTAACTCAATACAGCTGGACTAACTAACTAACTAACTAACTAACTAACTAACTGCCATGTCATCAATCGTACCAGTGATGAATTAGCCAATGTCTTCCAGCCGTTGATCATCTGAAGCTTTGATCAAGTTATTTACTGACGTGCTGCGGTGCAGAGGAATTTTTATTTTTTCAATTATTTTTTTAAAACAAAGGTTGATGCAAGCAAGTTCTTGAATTACTTCTATATATGGGTGAGAAGGGATTTTCTGAAACTCAAAGCAAAATTCGGATTTTTTTTCAAAAAAGATCGAACAGTCGGCAACTGGTGGTGAGTGTTGGTTGCACCAGATGACGTGGCTCGTCTGTCCCCACCAAAGACTCTGTACGCGCATAATACTAGTGGACAGGAGAGAGTTACATGTAGGCTGTAGCATCACCGAGAAATCGGTAGTGGGACCCATCATTTGAGGCCAACCAAGAATTCATCCACGCCGTGGGTTGCCTAATTCTCTGCGTCGCACCCCATTATCATTCAATGAGCCTGCAAGTGTGTTACACATGTTTCGTATACTCTTTGAAATAAACAATGCTATTTTTTTTACCTCACATGTTTCACTATTCATGCATCTTTAAACCGACCCTATCATTTAGCCTCCATAGCATGAGAGAAAATCTTAGATTTAACTCATTTTGTACAATCATTTTTTTTTTGGGATGTACAGTCATGTTTCATCATAATTGTATATAACTGGTGATATGAAAGTTTTTCTCTTAAAAATACAACATATACCAAGTTTACGAGCAAAACCCTTTAATTCATAGGGGCTTCTTAATAAACCACTAGCATTAGTTAATCCTTCCAAGGTTATTGGCGGAGCTCTCATCGATATTCAATTTGTGTCATCCAATAGGGGAAGGCGACTGATGTAGTTGGATGAAGTCACAAAGTGTGTAAAAGAGAGCTTATTTTTCTAAAAATGCTTGTAATTTTCTTGTGGTTTCACATCTTCTTTTCATGCATCTTTAAACAGACCCTATCATTTAGCCTCCATAGCATGAGAGAAAATCTTAGATTTAACTCATTTTGTACAATCATTTTTTTTTTGGGATGTACAGTCATGTTTCATCATAATTGTATATAACTGGTGATATGAAAGTTTTTCTCTTAAAAATACAACATATACCAAGTTTACGAGCAAAACCCTTTAATTCATAGGGGCTTCTTAATAAACCACTAGCATTAGTTAATCCTTCCAAGGTTATTGGCGGAGCTCTCATCGATATTCAATTTGTGTCATCCAATAGGGGAAGGCGACTGATGTAGTTGGATGAAGTCACAAAGTGTGTAAAAGAGAGCTTATTTTTCTAAAAATGCTTGTAATTTTCTTGTGGTTTCACATCTTCTTTGTCAAATAAAACAAGAGTTCTCTAAAAATTTTTAAATACAAATCGATGTATATACAATCATATACGAGCTCTAATGCATTTTTTCTTGCAAGTCAGTTTTGTAAAGTCAAATTCTACCCAATGTTTTTATAATTTGGTACAAGAGCAAGATATCATACAAGTATGAGATTGAGCTTATTATATAGTGTGACTTCCTAATTGTTATAATGGGCGATATAACTTGAGAAGAATTAGTATTTGTAAGCGAGATGTGTAAAGTCACTCCCTTAATGAGAGGTATGAATACTTTTCAACTTTCTTATACAAATTTTGAAATGTATGGTACATTATTTAATATTACATTACTGATTAAAAAAATTGCATTGAAATAAAATCCATTTGAGAGATGAATCCAAGCTAATCATTTAGCATTTGTCAACGGAGTCTAGTCAAGTGAAAGCCATGACTTGTAGATCAATAGTCCCAAATTCGAACCCGAATGAGGCTCATGACATTTTGATAGTGTGCATATGTGAGAAAACCATTGCCCTTTTTTAACTTTGGCCACAAAAAAAAAAATCATTTAGCATTCCAAAATTAAAACGTGTAAGTAATAGAGCACATGGATTGGGGTCCTTGCGCCCGCGCAAATTAAAGACCAACGAAACAGCAGCATCTGCAAGTCTCAAATATTTGCTCTACATTTGTCCGCACAGTAAAACTGTTCTCACGAGGGAAAAACGAAGACGCGGGACGATTAGATCGGCGTAGTGGGAAAGACTGGTGGCCAAATAATTGGGCGGCCTCAATTCACCTACAAGCCACCACCTCGCATTTCCCAACACACACACGCACAGAAACCCCAACCTGCCACAGAAACGCAGACACCTCTCTCTCTCTCTCTTCCCTCTCTCGTTAACGCTCATTCATTCATTCAGTGAGTCCTATGCTTCCCAAAGCCACATGAACTCCACTTCTTCCAACAACCCCCAATCAATGGGAGCAGCATCAACGCCCTCAGACGGGTCAGGCAAGAAGGTCCGCAAGCCCTACACCATCACCAAGTCCAGAGAAAGCTGGACCGACGAAGAGCACGACAAGTTCCTCGAAGCTCTTCAACTGTCAGTTCACTTTTTATTTTGTTTGTTTACTTTGCTTATTACGTTCCATTCTATTTGAAGTAGCTGGTGAATTTGGTTGATTGCTTGTTGCGTTTTCATTGCTTTTTGTGTAGCTTTTTAATTTGGTTGATTGCTTGTTGGGTTTTCATTGCTTTTTGTGTAGCTTTTTGTGTGGCCTGTTTTCACTTTTCATCTTCTCTTTTGGGTTCTGGGTTTCATTTGGAATTTTTCAAGTTTGAAACTTTAATATTAGTCACTTACTGGTGATGATCATGTCTGAGAATTGTGACTGAAGTGATGCAATGGGAAAAGCGTGGGAAAATTTAGTGTCTTGTAAGTTATAAACAGTAGATTTTGGTACTGGTGGATTTTGAAGTTTTGTGGGATTTTCAGGTTTGACCGTGACTGGAAGAAAATTGAAGATTTTGTGGGTTCGAAAACAGTTATTCAGGTTTGAAGCAAGCAATTCTGCTTTGTGGATTGAAATTGGTATGGTTTTGGGGACTGATTAAGATTTGAGGGGTTTTAAGATTTGGGGTTTTGCAGATTCGAAGTCATGCTCAGAAATACTTCTTGAAAGTTCAAAAGAGCGGGACAACAGCTCATGTGCCTCCTCCGCGGCCAAAACGCAAGGCTGCTCATCCTTACCCACAAAAGGCCTCCAAAAATGGTTCTCACATGTTAAAGATAGTGGCATTGTGTCTTTCTAAAGCTTAAAACTTAATTGTTGTCATCCTTAATTGTTCAATATCGGATTGGCAGTTTTAGTTCCGTTGCAAGCATCCATTGCGTATCCTTCTTCGATGAATTCCATTGCATCTACCTATTCTCCTTGGGATGAAACTTCCATTATGATAAATCCTGCATCAAACCAAATTCTGTTGTCACATGAAGAATTTACTAGTTTTCAAGGAACTGAAGGTATGTATACTCTCTCTTTTTTTATTTGTTTTGCTTCATATACTTGTGTTCAAATAGTTTTGTTGAGAACAGCACTTATTATGGGGTACGGCGTTACTGATTCAGCTGATATTAGATCAAAGGGGCTAGCAAGGATTAATGAATGCAGTCTAAGTGGAATCGAAAGCTCAAGTAGAACACTACCAAGTTCTGAGGTACCAGAGCAAGGGAAACAAGCTCCTTTGCTTCATGGTAATCCTCAAATTATAATTTTTTACTATATCTGCCATCGACTTGAATTTCAAGAAAGTTTCGGTGGGCTATTTTCATACATATTCCAATATTTTGCAGGTATTCCTGATTTTTCTGAAGTTTATAGCTTCATAGGGAGTGTTTTTGATCCAGACTCAAAAGGCCATGCTCAGAAACTCAGGGAGATGGATCCCATCAATTTCGAAACTGTGAGTTGAATAAAACCACATCACTTTCAATGATTTATTCTTGCTATTTTCTAATAATGCCTGAAGTTGTGTAGGATTTGCCTGTCTATCCTTTTTAGAGATACAGTGTAAATGTCATCAGAGAGCTAAGAACCCTGTACTACGGTGGTTTTTGGCCAAAAACTATTTTGAACAAAGTCCATAGATCAGTGCTCTAGTCTAGACTTTTCAAGATACTCAACATGAATTCGTGTTCCCTCTGCAAAGACTTAACTTGTTATGACCTGACATAACAAGTAGCACTTGGACTTTGCCACAACACCACCCCCCCTCTCTCCTCTTTTTCTCTCTCCTCCCTCTCTCTGCAGAGGCTTAACGTGTTATGAGTTGAGGCTTTACAAAACAAATATGTGCCTGATAATAATTACAACGAATCAAGGTGAAATGAGATATGTGCTTGTAATTAGTTATAAATATTGAGAGGTGATGTGCCAGCAGTAATATTTGGTTTTTTCTGCAGGTTTTGTTGTTGATGAGAAATCTCAGTATAAACTTGTCTAGTCCAGACTTTGAGCCAATTGTGAGTATTACTAGTATTACTATTTCTTGTTATTATACTTGTAATTGTGTCATGTAACATTGCACATAGCTATATGTTTCTATTGTTTGTCAGAGACTATGTTATCCTTGTCAAGCCCGATACCCTTCTAGATTTTGGTATGAAAAACAATGTGGCGCTGATATATTGCTTTTCACAAAAATTGCACATATGACTTGCTATGGTAAACATAAGATGACTTTGAGTTGCTAATAAAATTAGAAGCTTCGGTATTACTTCACGTGAACTTCTTTATGAGATAACATGTTTTATCTTGAGAGTTCAATGGACTGTTAACATTCTCTCTTCAATCGCCCTGATGTTCTGACTTCTCACTTAGCTTGTGTTATTTCCTTAAGATTTTGAACTGGGTAACTAATGATTGATGACTTATTTGACTTCATCTTACATGTATATGTTCTTTTAAAACTTGGGATATTCTTTAATGTTGACTGGTTAATGTTGTTTGGTTCAGAGGGAAGTCCTAGTATCATATGATGTCAATACAAAAACAGCAGTAGCTGCAGGAATTGTTACCACAAAGCTGAATAACGATCTGTCAAGTTGAACTTCTTAATACTTACAGTTGCTGACTGGTACATGTCTTCCATTTCTTTTATCTTATACTAATGTACTCTTGCTCGATTTTTGGCCATTTTTACCTTGTGAGTATGATCTCTTCACACAAAAAAAATTAGTGACATTTAGCTTGAAATTTTCCCATCAATTAGGTATTGTTTTGGAGTGAAAATAGCAGTTCTAGTTCTAGTACGGCATGCCGAATCTGATCTCAGGGATGTAGTTCTGCAGCCACAACCAGGACAGTGTTAGGAGGATATGCTGAATAGAAGAAAAATTTCAGTTGTTTTTCAAAGCTCTGGAAAGGTTATAAATTGTAATAGTAGTCTGGTGGCCTGAATGTATGATTATCATATTCTGATTTTGCTTAGGCTAGAAGTATGTATATCTTGTAAGATCTGTTTAGTTGTAGTTTTATCTTCCTCTTTTTCAAATGTGTAGTCTGTACCATCAAACAAGTTTTAACTACGAGAATCGGAATCGTTAGCGACCCAGAAAAGAAAAAAGCTATATAGTTCCTTCCTGTCAAATGTCACATGTTATATAGTTCCTTCCGGCATTTCAAGAGCTCTTTTTCATGTGACTAAAGGAGTAAATAGGAGATCAAAGCATGCGTATACGTGAAAGGCTCTATTTTCGCATGAATAACATAAGCATTGACGGTTCGAAATACCCAGACGACTTCTTGACAGTTCCAATGCAAATTTGTCCCTTTTTATCATTTGTAATGTATAATTTCCGTTAACTCATTATCTTAAAAACTCCTATAAAATTATGTTTGGAATTGTATTTTCGAAAAATTACTTTTTTTCATTTTTAGGGAGCATATGTTTCTCTTTCATGTAACACATAACTTTAGATAAATACGCTTAACTAATCGAGCTATAAATTTCCACCGATAGAGCTAAAAACAAACATATATTTAAGTAAAGCCCAGATCCAGCTAAATTGTAAACATTTAAGCCCAATACCCTACAAATTGAAACATAAATGTAAGGTTTTAATAAGGAAAATATTTTCTATGAAAGAAATTAATAAAAAAAATGTTTTATATTCTAGTTTTTTTTCAACCTAAATATGATGACATAATTTCATACCAACCTGCCACACATAAGTTGAATTTTAACAAGGATGTTGAATTTTTAAACATTGTACAACAAAATTAAAATGAAGCAATATGAGCAGAAAATTTAAAGGAGAAAAAAATAATGAAAAATGGCGCAAGTGAAACTGAAAACCCTAAACATTTTAGGTATAAAAGCAACGCAACACTCATTTGCCCCAACCCTAAACCCTCACATCGCATTCCCCCCTTCCCATCTCACTCCCCCACTCTCTCTAAAATGGCCGCCGCAGCTGCAGCAGCTCGTCCCCTAGTCACCGTCCAAACCCTAGATGGCGACATGGCCACTGACCAGTGCCAAACCGTCGCCTTACCCGACGTCATGAAAGCGTCCATCCGCCCAGACATCGTCACCTTCGTCCACGCAAACATCTCAAAGAACAGCAGGCAACCCTACGCCGTTTCGAAGAAGGCCGGCCACCAGACCTCCGCCGAGTCTTGGGGTACCGGACGCGCCGTCTCACGTATCCCACGTGTCCCCGGCGGCGGGACTCACCGCGCTGGGCAGGGAGCATTCGGAAACATGTGCCGTGGTGGTCGCATGTTCGCTCCCACCAAGATCTGGCGCCGCTGGCACCGCAAGATCAATGTGAACCAGAAGCGATATGCCATCGTTTCGGCCATTGCCGCATCCGCCGTGCCTTCTCTGGTTTTGGCCAGGGGACACAAAATTGAGACCGTCCCAGAGCTTCCCTTGGTCGTCAGCGACTCTGCTGAGGGCGTTGAGAAGACCTCGGCGGCTCTGAAGCTTCTGAAGCAGATCGGGGCTTACGCTGACGCCGAAAAGGCCAAGGACAGCCACGCAATCCGACCCGGAAAGGGGAAGATGAGGAACCGGAGGTACATCAACCGCAAGGGCCCGCTCATTGTGTACGGAACTGAAGGGGCCAAGCTGGTGAAGGCCTTCAGGAACATTCCTGGCGTCGACATTATCAATGTTGAGAGGCTTAACCTGCTTAAGCTCGCTCCGGGTGGTCATCTGGGTCGTTTTGTCATCTGGACCAAATCGGCTTTTGAGAAGCTGGACTCTATTTACGGGTCGTTTGATAAGGTTTCGGAGAAGAAGAAGGGCTACGTGTTGCCCAGGTCGAAGATGGTGAATGCTGACTTGGCGAGGATTATCAACTCTGATGAAGTTCAGTCTGTGGTTAGGCCAATCAAGAAGGAGTTCAAGAGGGCACCTCTGAAGAAGAACCCATTGAAGAATCTCAACACTCTTCTGAAGTTGAACCCTTACGCTAAAACTGCTAGGAGGATGGCTCTTTTGGCCGAAGAGCAGCGGGTGAAAGCTAAGAAGGAGAAGCTTGACAATCTCTAATTTCTTCGAATGCTTGGAAAATGTCTCTACTTTCTTTGTAATAATACTGAATCTTGTGGTTTTTGGGTTTAATAGATATATGCTAATCAAAGCCTGTATTTAGTTATGGATGATGAGTTCGGGAAATTTCTTTGGAACCCAAATTGCAAACCAGTTCTCCAAATCTTGTCAATGAGGGCTTTCAAGGCACCCTTGCTCTGTTCAGTAGCAAATTTTTGCCTTTCAGCATCTTTCTCAAATTTCTTCGAATGCTTGGAAAATGTCTCTACTTTTTTTGTAATAATACTGAATCTTGTGGTTTTTGGGTTTAATAGATATATGCTAATCAAAGCCTGTATTTAGTTATGGATGACGAGTTCGGGAAATTTCTTTGGAACCCAAATTGCAAACCAGTTCTCCAAATCTTGTCAATGAGGGCTTTCAAGGCACCCTTGCTCTGTTCAGTAGCAAATTTTTGCCTTTCAGCATCTTGTGGTTGGTTGACCAGAAAATTTGGCATTGTCCGTTTGGGGATTAGAATACTGTTCCCGCCCCACTCCGACTACTATATCCGAAACCCGTCATATCCAATTTCATTCATATCCTATCTATTAGGGTCTAGTCCTGCAAAGACCCTAACCCGTGGGGAAAATTGTCGCTCTTACCAGTCATATGCTTGAAGAAAGGGGCTGATGCTGGAAGTGCCTAGACTCTAAGAATAGTATCAGTGCCATTTCCGGACTTGACCCAAATGGCATTCTCCTTACACAACCTCCCCACCCCCACACCCCCCCAGGCTCATGGATAGGGAAATTCCACTCGGAAAGGTTTCAACTAGAATCAGTTTCCAAGCATTGATTAAAGCATCGAGAACTAATGTTAGTTTTAGACTTTGCCTAACCAAATCAGTTTTAAACCAATTGAGACCAGCAAAACTCACAAGCTAACCCATGCTCTCATTTGGGGAATCATTCAACGCTAATCCCTGCAGCCAAACCATCACAATCTCAAGGAGGCTTTGCATCCATTATCAACAATCCAATCCCATTTCCCATAAACTCACAGTTAATTTCACTTTTTTCTTTTCTTTTCTTTTCTTTCATACCAAACAGGCCAAATGTGTGAGGCACTGCGTTTCATAGTGTTCATGATCAAAAGCAGATGGTTCACAGTTTTTGCCTCATTCATGATGATGGCTTGTTCTGGTGGAACCTATCTGTTTGGGACCTATTCCAAAGAGCTGAAGCAAACTTTGGGTTATGACCAATCAACCCTAAATTTGTTGGGTTTTTTCAAAGATCTTGGAGCAAACATTGGCATTTTTTCTGGCTTAATTGCTGAGGTCACCCCAACATGGTTTGTGCTCCTAATTGGTGCAGCCATGAACTTGTTTGGCTACTTGATGATGTGGTTAGGTGTCACAGGCAAGATTGCCAAGCCAGCAGTCTGGAAAATGTGCACCTACATTGCCATTGGAGCCAATTCTCAAAGCTTTGTGAACACAGGAGCCCTTGTGACTTGTGTCAAAAACTTCCCAGAAAGCAGAGCCATTATGCTTGGCCTCTTAAAAGGGTATGTTGGGCTCAGTGGTGCAATTATAACGCAACTCTATCTTGCTTTCTATGGCAATGACAGGAAGGCTCTGATTCTTCTCGTTGGGTGGCTGCCTGCTCTGATTGGAGTGATTTTTGTGTACACAATTAGACCCATGAAGGTTGAAAGCAAACCCGATGATCTCAAAGTGCTTTTCTACTTTCTTTTTGTGTCAATTGCTTTTGCCCTTTTTCTCATGGCAATAACTCTCATTCAGCAAAGCATTACATTCTCCAAAGGAACCCAAGCACTCACAGCCACTGCTGTCTGTTTTCTGCTTCTGTTTCCTTTGTTCATTTCCATAAGTGAAGAGTTGGATAACTTTAAGCTCAAGGAACACCCAAAACCTCCTACTCAGATTTCCATTGTCCATTTAGAAAAATACCCATCAAACCAAGCCATTTCAGCACCAAATACACTGTCAATTTCTTCCTCTTCCCATCCCGGAGGCACACCTTTCTTCTCCAACATTTTCAACAAGCCGCCGAGAGGAGATGACTACACAATCTTACAAGCCCTCTTCAGCATTGATATGCTGATCCTTTTAATTGCAACACTCTTTGGACTTGGCTCAAGCTTGACTGCTGTGGCCAATTTTGGCCAAATTGGTGAGTCATTGGGTTACAAACCTGAAACCATTCACACTTTCATGTCACTCATCAGCATATGGAACTTCTTTGGTAGAGTTTTTTCTGGGTTTGTCTCAGAAATCCTACTCATGAGAGACCAAATTCCAAGACCCCTTATGGTCACAATTGTCCTTTTTATAGCAACCACAGGCTACCTTCTCATTGCTTTCCCATTCCCTGGTGCTTTGTACATTGCTTCAGTGATCATTGGGTTCACATTAGGGGCTCAGTTGCCATTGGTTTACTTTATTTTGGTGGAGAGAACCAAGCCATTCTACAAAGGTAACATATACAAAAAGTTGAGAGAGAATGCTGAGCAAGTCAAGGCTGAAGAGGTAGAAGAAATGGCTTCACCATCATTTTCTAATGGATTTAAATGATCACTTGGATTGGATATACGGACGATTTATATTAGGGACGATTCTATGGGTAATGTTCTCTCTTGTTGGACAGGCTAGCAATGTAACGATTCGTGTGTTGTCAAATTGTGAACTTGAACACCTCACCTCATTAGTATGATATGAGTTAACATTTTTTCGATACACCGAGTTTCTACATATTGTTTCACAATTCCTACATTGTATTCATCCAAATTAGAAGAAAAATACCACATCATAAAGCAATGATTCACCGAAAAGTAAAACATAAACGGCAGACGAAATCATAGAAAACCTCGAGACCAATGTAACCAATTAACATAAACTTATTACAAGTAACTCAGTTTTCTAATAACAGAATTTGCATGGGCTATATATCCCATGAAAATGAACCAACTCAGCTTGCCAGCCCAGTCAACCCCCAACCCACCTCAATAAACTTGTATGGCTGCTCGCTAAGATTAGAAGAAAAAACAAAAGATACACATACACATACATATCTTCCGACTTAGACTATGAATTTTTGGACACTCTTTTTGTACAAGTTAAGCGCAAGCAGTGCGCAGTATGAAATTAAAAACGTAACGAGAAAACGCGGTTATCATCAAAACACATGTTGAGTTGTTAACGATGAGGGTTCGGTACGGTTTAAAACTAACGGACTGTGTTATTCGTTTTTTCTTTTGTGTGTTTCTCCGACGGTTTAGGACACGTTGGGTATTTTGCTCTTTGTATATAACGAGTTAAACGACGAGGACTGAGAGGTCGCTGTGTTTTATGGTACCGAGTCATACGAGGGCAGAAACAAATAATATTTTAAATATATATTCTTGTATTTTATAAAAGAAGAATTGTCATTCAGACCCACAAAAACGAAGAAGAATTGTCATTTTGGGCAGGCCATGGGCCCAGTTGGGTTGGGTCTACCTAATTTCGGCTTCTGTCATTTTTGGGTACTGAAGAAAGACGTGTACGGAAACTGCCCCACACCAACTTGGAATTGCAGATTTTTTAGTAATATATTCATATAGTAATTGTTTTAGTAATATATTGAGTAACATTCTACAGGAGCATTTTTGCTCACCACTTTAACTCAAGATGTACTCTTATCATTCTTCTTAATATTTGACACGTGTCTATTAATATAATCATGATTGCATAAATATAAAGTAAATAGCTAACTATGATTATGCTAATGGACACATATCAAGTGTTTAGAAAGGTGGTGAGGGTATACCTTGAGTTAAAGTGGTGAGTGAAAATATGCCCTACATGACCAATTTATGTATCACATTGTTGATATCATTAATAATTTAAGAAAGTTGTGATACATTTATACTGAGAGTAACCACTTCTCTCGTACAAAGGTGGAGTTCACTAATACAAATAATCTCACTCCTATTAAAATGTGATGTTGCTATCGTACATATAGTAATTGTTTTAGTAATATATTGAGTAACATTCTACGAAAGCATTTTTGCTCACCATTTGAACTCAAGGTGTACTCTTATCATTATTCTTAATATTTGACACGTGTCTATTAATATAATCATAGTTGCATAAATACAAAGTAAATAGCTAACTATGATTATATCAATGGACACATATTAAGTGTTGAGAAAGGTGGTGAGTGTATACCTTGAGTTAAAGTAGTGAGTAAAAATATGTCATACATGACCAATTTATGTATCACATTGTTGATATCATTAATAATTTAAGAAAGTTGTGATGCATTTATACTGAGAGTAACCGCTTCTCTCGTACAAAGGTGGAGTTCACTAATACAAATAATCTCACTCCTATTAAAATGTGATGTTCCTATCGTTTTCTTGGTTGATAAATATGAATCAAACAACTTTTAAAAATCTATTGAAGATGATAATATTCACAACATTAGCACATTGTCTCAAATGCTTTGTGTGATTAAACCCAAGTAAACACTTGATGATTGGTTAACTCTTATAATATATGCTGTCATATCCTAAGCAACATCAAAAGGAAAAGATAAAGGCAAAAGAAAAAAAAATTTGACAAGTTTGTCTAATTGAGAGTTTCAAAAGTAAGTGTGTGCCAATTAGTCCCAACAAAACAAATCATAAAAATTGATTATCTTTATTGATAAATGATGATGGCTATGGCTAAGTGGCTATGTGTCAGCCAAATGAGAGGGTTGGGGGGTAGGGGGCAATATGAACCAGGGAATGGTCTAGTCACCCACATATGAGATGTGACACTTTCACACACCCCTATATTCCAACCGCTCTCTGACTGATTAAACCCCCCGCTCTCTCTCAGCCCACCATCAAACCCTACAACTTCTTCATTCATTCACTCTAAAACAGTAGGTGCCAAATATTACCAAAGTTCATGAATGAATGTTCTCTTATCAAGTATCTTATATGTTGTTAAATTAAACTACTAGGTACCAGAATAAGAATTCACTTAATCAATCAGAAATTTGTGTGCACGCATGATTAATTGTTGATCGTATATGTGTATGAACTCTAGAATTAGATCGGCATATAATTCGTAAATGTATACGAACTTCACTGTGAGATTCACATGTATCTACAGTCAATAATTAAATACGCTTTGTTAATTATCCAAATTAACAGTATTGTGTGAAGTTTTCTTACAAGATTGAAATTATTGAATAGTGGGCCTAATGTGTGTAGTGAATTTACTTTCCATTTTAATTCTTTTTTCTTTTGCTCCATAACAAACAATTCTCTCTCTCTCTCTCTCTCTCTCTCTCTCTCTCTCTCTAACAACTTTATTAAGCCCACCATCAAACCCTACAACTTCTTAATTCATTCACTCTAAAATAATAGGTGCCAAATATTACCAAAGTTCATGAATGAATGTTCTCTTATCAAGTATCTTGTATGTTGTTAAATTAAACTACTAGGTACCAAAATAAGAATTTACTTAATTAATTAGAAATTTGTGTGCACGTGTGATTGATTGTTGATCGTAGATGCATATGAACTTTAGAATTAGACCGACATATAATGCGTAAATGTATACGAACTTCACCGTGAGATTCACATGTATCTACGGTCAATAATTAAGTACGCTTTGTTAATTATCCAAATTAACAGTATTGTGTGAAGTTTTCTTACAAGATTGAAATTATTGAATAGTGGGCCAAGTGTGTGTAGTGAATTTACTTTCCATTTTAATTCTTTTTTCTTTTGCTCCATAACAAACAATTCTCGCTCTCCCTCTCTCTCTAACAACTTTATTAACTTCTTAATTTCGGTGGGTTTGCATGAATGAAGAGACTCACAAAGCCGGCCTCAATACGATTCTCTCACGCCGGCGCTTCCAGAACCAACTTCAATTTCAACCACATCTACTCCTCTCTCGTCTCTCTCAATCCTTTTAACAAACACGTACAAAACAAAGCAAAGCTCTCGAAATGAAGATGCTTTTTCCACTCTCATCATTTTCTCTCACCATTTTCCCACTGCCATTGCTCTCTCTCTGAATTCACGTCCCAAACACCGAACCCACCACGCCACCTAAACAAAGCCCAAATCTTTACACAAAAGCAATGCTAGATCTCAACCTCAGCTTCGTCTGCAACGACGTCGTCTCCAGCTCTGACAACAACCTTCTTCACCTTCCCGCTACCACCTCCCCAATCCAGAGCTCCGCCAGCTTCAACTCCTCCTCCAACCTCACCGCCGCCGGAGATGACGACGACTCGTCCACCCTCAACTTCCTCTCCCCAAACGACGTCGCTGCCGACGACTACGCTCACTGCGATGCTCGGACCATCCAGCTCTTCCCGCTCGCGCAATCCGTACGCTCTTCTTCTTCGTCTTCGTCGTCTTCGAGAAAGCAGTGGCTGGGACTATCGTCCAATTCCGGAATGGAGGTGGAGCCGAGCTACTATGCTCCTGCGGAGCAGAGGATCGTGCCCCTGCAGCAGAAAGTGAAGAAGAGCCGGAGAGGACCCAGGTCTCGGAGCTCGCAGTATCGGGGCGTTACGTTCTATCGGAGAACCGGGAGATGGGAATCTCATATTTGGTTAGTGTTTGGCTACAGTGATAACACCTAAACACTCTGTTTGGATACGTTGATTGTGGCATGAATTTGAGCTCTCTCACTTCTTTTTTGTGTAGGGATTGCGGGAAACAGGTGTACTTGGGTAAGAAAAATCAAAACCCACCGCTTAGTCCTTTCTTCTTTATTATTATTCTTTTTTTTCTTTTTTTTCCTGGCTGATTATATTTTTCTTTTTGTCTTTTGTTTATTGTTCTGAAATTTTAGGAGGATTTGACACTGCCCATGCTGCAGCTAGGTAAGAAATAAGAATCCTAGTGTTTGATATAAATGTTTTTTTTAAATAAAAAATTTAGTGCATGTGTTTTTTTTCTTTTAACTTTTCGGGTATTTGTGGGTGTTTGATAACATGAACTTAGGGCATATGATCGAGCTGCGATCAAGTTCCGTGGAACTGAAGCTGATATTAATTTCAATGTTAGTGATTATGAAGACGATATTAAGCAGGTCGGTTTTAGAGTGTATTATGTGTACAATATGGTGAAGATTTTTCCTGGCATTGTCTTATTTCGTTCTGGGGTTGAATTTGACTGTGACGCAGATGAGCAATTTTACAAAGGAAGAGTTTGTGCATATCCTGCGTCGCCAGAGCACCGGATTCTCTAGAGGAAGCTCAAAATACAGGGGAGTCACGTTGCACAAATGTGGCCGCTGGGAAGCTCGTATGGGCCAGTTTCTGGGGAAGAAGTAAGAACCCCTTTCTGTTTTTACTGTCATTATTTTATGTGTCAATGTGTTTGAATATGGATTTTTAGTATTCATTTATGCATGTGGTCTAAGTGAGTCTGATAAGCGAACAAGGGAACAATACAAAGAATTGTGTTCAGCAAGGACCAAATAAATTGTTGGGATACTTCGTTTTCGTAAAGTAGATTGTTCGGATGAATTGAGAAATTGGTTTTCATTGGCTATGGTATTTCATTGCTTGCCTGCAGGTATATATACCTTGGCCTATTTGATAGCGAGATTGAAGCTGCAAGGTCTTTACGATATTATATAGGCACCGTTTTGCTCAATATCTAAACTTTGAGATCTTACTGACCATGGGATTCATTTAAGTCAGTATAGTGTTGTTCTTTGAAATCAGGGCATATGACAAGGCTGCCATCAAATGCAATGGAAGAGAAGCAGTCACCAACTTTGAGCCAAACTCATATGATGGTGAGATAATGTCTGAGGCCCACAATGGAGGTATATTGTTGTTAGAGAATCCATTTTTGTAAGATCTTTGTGTGTAATCCTTTGTCAATTTAGTTGAGCCAAAAAAAAAAATCGAACTATTCTTTTATTTCTACCAATGTATCATCTATCTACAACCCTCTTGGTACAGGCAGTGACAAAAGTCTTGATCTGAACTTGGGAATTGCTCCCCCTTTGGTTTCTGAGCTCCAAAAGAACAACAGCAATTTGAGCAGCTTCCCTGTTCAGCTAGGCTGCGATGACATTCCTATTCACATGAGAACAAGGGTAATGTTGAGATCAACTTTTGAAAGCCCCACTCAGCTGAATTCACCTTTGCTATTGTACAGAAGTCCTTTGCAACTTAAGCTACTCCCTTTAAAGCATTTTGTTGTTTTGTTTACAGAATGAGAACTCTGCTCCAGCACCTATGAGGGCTCAACTGTCTCATGGCTCAATGGTGGCGTCTGAGGAGCCTCCTATAATGAGCAACATAAATTCCAGTTTCTTTCCCATCCAAATGGTAATTTACATTCACTTCTAGTCACTATCATAATTTATTATAAGAAGTTATCAAACCTTAATTTTTCTGCCTGAAGTATTTTCTTGTTGAGCTTTGCAATGTTTTCATTTGATTGTGTTATTGGTGTACACTTCAATTTTTTATGTTAAATTGCCACTCTTCTCTGCTGCAGCATCATCAGGATTCCCTTCTTCAACAGCCACTTCACCACCAGCTGCTGTCACTCAACTTCATTTTCCTAACACAACTATTCACCACCACCATTTTTCACCGTCGACAGTCACCAACAACATACCCGGTTTCTATTGCAGGAGCTGAAAACCAGAACCAGGTGGGATATAACCACGACACATTAGTATCTTAGTGTAGAATGTAGTCACGGGACAAGTAGAAAAAGATTGGTAATGAAATTTGTTTTCCTATGATCATGTAAAGCTAATGAAACTTGAGGATCTTGGTCTAGAGGCATGGAAAAATTGAGGTAGTTTTGCCTTCTTCTGACGTGTGGTCACATTCTTTTGCATGCCTCCTTCCTTTGTGGGGTGCTGAAAAGCAGGTGGAGCAAAATATGTTTGGAAGCTTAAAACAGTTCAATTTCAAATGCCTTTTCTTTTTACTGCTTAAGAGTTTGTACTTTAGCATGAAATGAATGGCATCTTATTTCTGATTCCCAGATTGGTTGTTGCTCATAAAGCTTGACCTGCTCTGCTAGCAAGCACACAACTAAAACAAAATTAAAATTCAAACACATTAACAACTTCCAGCAATGCAAATTTTCAGATTTGTAAAGAACATAGAAAAGGAAATATATATTTGAAAAAAAAAAAAAAAAAAACTTTACCTATTTGTGGATTGTTCTTTGGTTGCCAAATGGAGGACACGTGGACAAGTTGGGGTTGGAGCTAGCTGGCTACGTGTATGTCTGCAGACTGTAAAGGAAAAGTAGAAATGTAAGGATCCGCAATCCTCGGCTTTTAGGCTGAAGCAGGTACTTGTTACAGACTGCACTGCATGCACTGCAAATTTGAAAAAGGATCAAAGATGGAGAAAGAGGGTCGTCGACCTGTCTGTAAATGATAATAATATTTGTAATTTTTTGTAATCTGCATTGTGATTTATGAGCAGCGTGAAAAGCCCGTTTGTACTTTCATACGTCTCCACGGTAAAACCCATTCAGGCCAGGCACCGCCAGCCTTTTCAGCGTACCTTACCATTTCACACTTAACCTTTTCAACTTTTTTTTTTTATAATCATTTTCACATACAAATTGTACATAAGATTCTACAAAAACTTTTTCCTTTATGTTCAATGTAAGGATCCGCAATCCTCGGCTTTTAGGCTGAAGCAGGTACTTGTTACACACTGCACTGCATGCACTGCAAATTTGAAAAAGGATCAAAGATGGAGAAAGAGGGTCGTCGACCTGTCTGTAAATGATAAAATAATAATATTTGTAATTTTTTGTAATCTGCATTTGTGATTTATGAGCAGCGTGAAAAGCCCGTTTGTACTTTCATACGTCTCCACGGTAAAACCATTCAGGCCAGGCACCTCCAGCCTTTTCAGCGTACCTTACCATTTCACACTTAACCTTTTCAACTTTTTTTTTTATATAATCATTTTCACATACAAATTGTACATAAGATTCTACAAAAACTTTTTCCTTTATGTTTTCGAGTAGAAGGTTACCCAACTGAATTTGTACACAAAATTTAAAACCCATATGGAGGAGCATTATATCACTTCGTTAATTGTCATTTGACGAAATGTGATTTTTCGTTTATAGTCTAAAATTAATTTAATTTATTGGAGAGAAATTCGAAATTAAGAGCGAGGAGATCACCTAACACTTTTACGAATGTTATTTAACCTACATGTTACACGTATCTAAAAAATTAAACTTATCAAACGATAATTGACTTGGTGGTAATCCTCGCCACCAATAAGAATGATGAGAAAAACATTATGTTCTAAAACCCAAAGTTTTATAAATTTTTTTTAAAAAAGAACTTAACTATCTCTCTCTCTCTCTCTCTCTCTCTCTACACTAGAAACGTGTAGGGTTATATTATATAGGGAGGATGTGGGCTATAACTGCTATGCTTCTCCTCCTAGTGTTGTGTTTGGTACAACCTGATGTAATCTGATAGCTTTATTGGGCAGTTCACAGCTGTGTGCCTGTCTCAGTGTGAATGCATGTCATATATATTTAGATACAAGATTTCTGTTTATAGGGGCAGAGCATGACCTCGTGATTTGCAGAAGTGTGTTTATATATAGTCAGTTTCCTTCCACTTTGGTTATTCAACCAACCAAACTCTTTCAAAACAATTCAATGCTCTCTCTCTCCGTTTTGTCTGTCATTTTTAGGATGCCCCCCCTTTCTTTCTGTCACTGACTCAAGCCTCTTTTTACTTCTCTGCTCATCATTTTAGCATATAGGGTTTAAGGCGTTTTCGCTTTTCGGGCTAGTCTAATATAGGCTCTTACAATTTTTATTTCCTAAATATCAACTTATTAATTTTGAAATCTATGTATAAAATCCAAATTCAAACTACAATATATAAAAGGTCATAGTACTCATACATATTTACATTGTTTGCCATCATATTTCAAATAAGTCAGCCTGACGATTTTCAAGCATGTCATTAAGTCCCTCGTTTTTAATTAATACTTCCTCACTTATAACATATCAATGACTCAGGTTTTTTTTTTTTCGGCATTCCTTCTAATCCTTTAAAATTTGAACCAATAAAAAACATCCTTAAATTTTCGACCAATAAAAAATTTCTTAGATTTTTTACCAATAAAAAATCCCTCAAATTTTGTTCCAATAAAATATAATAGGTAAATTATTATCAATACCTACAAATTTACATGTCTTGTATATATCCAATACGGGTAGGTAAATTATTTTCACAATATACCTATTAATGTGATGGCTTTAATATACCTACAATATGTATATATCCCATACAATATAATAGGTAAATTATTATCAATACAATATAATATACTTACAAATTTACCTATATATCTTGTATATATCCAATACGGGTAGATAAATTATTTTCACAATATACCTATAAATGTGTTGGCTTTAATATACATGCAATATACCCATAATAGGTAAATTACAAGTTATATTATTGCATAATAGGAAATTATTAGGTAAATTATATCCAAAATGCGTTTATAAAAGTTGGCTATATTATTTGAATAATAAGTAAGTTCATAATAGGTACATTATTTTTTGTAAAAGAAGTAATAGGTACGTTATTTTATCAACATAAAATTGTATGTATGCTATTATATTTATAAAACAATAACATAATAGATAATTAATCACATATACTTCATAAGTTAATAATTTTTTTTTAATTAAATAAATCGATTAGGTATGTTAAATCTAAATTTATTGTTAAATTTAAAATTTAAAAATAATAATTCCTACATCCATTTGGAGATTTTTCCAATTTCAACGTGTGTCATTAGTTACAATCCAATTAAAATTTGTTTCTACATTGGTTCCTACATTAATATACAAAATACAATAATGACTTAGTTGGGGGTATTTTAGGAATCAAAAAAGTATAATAAATTCGATTTTGCACTTGATTAGGTAACTTGCCAAATTGGATCCTAGTTATCGGGTTTTATTTAGAAAAAAACAGGATTTTATTCAAAAAATAAAAAAGGAGATAGGTTGTAGTTGAAAAAAAATGACTTTTGTTTAGAAAAAACAGGATTTTATTTAAAACATAAATTCGAAACAGAGTTTAATAACTTGTGTTTCTTGTAAAATGTAAAGCTAATGGCTACCTCACAAAGGGGACTCTCTCTGTCTCTCTCTGTGCATTTATTTGCTGCATGGGCGGTTGGAAGATTTACTTTCCTTTCAATGGCACTGTTTATGCATATGCATGGCTTGTGCACAAATTAAATCATTACTGAAACTTAATTATAACTCAAATCCTTCTTTTGGGAATTTCCTTTCAGTCAGAGTGTATGTGTATACAATAGTACTGGACTACAGTCACTAAAATTTAATTTCTCAATGTGATGAATAATGCGATCTTGTCACATTATTTAATGTGCCAAATAAATTCTTATTTTGGCAAACTGAATTCGATAATGCTAGCCAGGATTTTCTCATCATTACCACTGATGATATTGTTACATTTGGTTTCTCAACTAAATTGACAAAGGATATTTGGTTTCTTGAGTAGATAAATGCAAGAAGAGAATGAGAGTATATTTTGTTACATGTTCAATAAATTTGGTCAAAATAGATTACACGTGTAATGATGTTATAAAGTTCGATTGAGTTTAGGCCACACATTTAATGATTCAAATAAGAACCAACTTAATTTATGGTTTAAATTCACAGTCCGACAACATAAATATTTTATCAAGTAATTCCACAGTATAATATCTTACTTATTAGAAACAAATGAGAAGATCCAGAGTCAGACCCAACTTTACCATATGTTCCTCTCCCTCACAAACACGCATCAGAAAACACAGCGCTTGTGTTGTGTGTGTGGAATGCATCAAGTAAGTACACGCCTATGCAATGCAACTATTTGAAATGAAAAGAGCGAGAGTGTGCAGAGGAGTACAACTACTTTTACTATTTTACTGATTTGCTGTTTTACTACTGTACAGTAGACTATGTATTATATAGAGTGGTCCAGTCAACAGGCGTTGGCATATTCATGATCCTCTCTCTCTCTCTCTCTCTCTCTTTCACAATCTTGCATTGCATTGCATGTAAACAAACCTGGTTTCCTAGGTTTCCCCTTCACAATAATACACACTAGAATACAACACAAAACAGGCCTGCCTGCTTAGCTCAGGCTCATATTTTTATTTTTGGGTGTACCTTTTTGAACTGTATGTGATGGAATCTTCAGGGGATGATAAGGTTGATGAGTCACAGTCAAAGTCCTGCCTGCTTGCCTGCCAACCTAGGCTACCATTCTAATCTTCACTGTGTACCTGCCAGAATTATAGAGTGAGATTTTTTACCCTTC